GTAAAAATATTTTTAAATTGTAGCTCTAATTTTTTTTGTAATTACTAGGATCTCCTAACTATAGCTTAGGTATTAGCACCATAAGTAAATTTGTAAATGGGCACCCCTACCCCAGCATCCTTCAAGCAGAAATCTACGCTATCGAAAGATGCGTACAATTTGTCTTAAATAGGAACTATCGAAAACAGGAAATATACATCTTATCTGATAGTCAAGCAGCACTAAGCGCGAACAACTCAGTAACTATTAATTCGAAGTTGGTCAAAGGATGTCTAGAGAAGCTCAACAAATTAGGTAAAGAAAATAAAGTCCTCTTACTCTGGATGTCCGCTCACCATGGGATAGAAGGCAATTAAAAAGCAAATGATCTAGCTAGAAAGGAAGCAAACAATACCCGCCAGTCAAAATATTTTAAGAAACAAAAATAAATTAATTATAAGTATATAAACAGTTATTATTTACATCAACAAAACTCACCTTCTTAAGAGTATGTATACTAAGAAATACCTGTATATTAGGAAATCGCAATATATTATATACAAAAGCAAGTATGAGAATACAGTAAATTAGATTTCATAATAATAACAAAAGTCGAACAGAACCAAACGAATAGTAAACGACATCATCCGACAAAATAAATTGGAAGCTGGTTCCGTTCGTATTCTAAGAGAATTCATGGACAACCTGAAACAAAAAATAGCTGCATTAGGATGTCGTTTGCGACGATACAATGAGAGTGAAAAATGGCGCAAACAAAATAAACAATTTATTACCAACCAGAGTTGTTTTTCAGAGCACTGAGCACCCAAAAAGAAGAACCTGATAGGACGCTAGTTAAAGCTGATGAAATGTATCACTTCTGGAATAACATCTGGGGAAATGAGCAAGAACATCAAGATGCTTACTGGATTAAAGAAGAAATACACCGCACGCAAGATTTACCTAAAATGAAGGAAATCCAGATAACAGAGAACGATATTAAACAGGCCGTCAGCTCACTAGGAAACTGGAAAGCACTTGGAATTGATAAAATCCAGGCATACTGGTGGAAGCACCTCACACATGTCCATGCAGTCTTGGCAATACAATTGAGCCAAGCAATAAAAAATCCCGCTGAAACAATACCTGCTTTTTTCACCATGGGCATCACGCATATGATACCTAAAAATAAATTTATTGATGATCCCAAAAACTTCAGGCCAATAACTTGCCTACAAGTCATATATAAAATTTTCACGTCTGTATTCGAAAAATCAATATCAAAACACCCAAGAAATCACCATACAGCCTGGGCAGGAGAACAAAATGTAGCCGAAAAGGGTCTAGAGGAAGTACAGAGTGGCTTATAATTGATAATGAAAGCAAGCATATAAAAACCAAAGAAACATATCTATCGCTTGGATCGATTACAAGAAAGCGTTCGACTCTGTACCACACTCATGGCTACTTAAAATTCTAGAGATCTACAAGATAGATATCTCAATAGTCAGAACTCTTCGATATTTAATGCAGCAATGGCAAACATCTCTTCTCGTTACTTCCTTAGGGGACAGCTATCAAACCAAACCATTAAAAGTCCGAAGAGGGATATTCCAAGGTGATAGCTTAAGTTCATTAATGTTTTGCATGGCCATAAACCCACTAAGTTTCATGCTTAAGTCTAGCAAATATGACTATGCTGTGAAGAACAATCCCCAAGTAAAGATTTCCCACTTGCTTTACATGGATGATTTAAAATGTTACGCGAGCAACCCAGAACAACTTAAAAGGCAAATGGAACTTGTAGCATCCTTCAGCCAAGTTGTTCATATGGATTCGGTATGGAAAGATGTGCATTCTTGCACTGTAAAGAAAGGAAAATCCAAGAATCTAACGAGATTATTTTAACTAACGACATAACATTCTCACCGTTACATCTGGGTGAAACCTACAAATATTTTGATATCCATCAAGCTCTAAAAATTGATGATGGAGTAATAAAGAAGACTACTGAGGAAGCATTTATGAAGAAGGTTTGTAAAGTCTTGGGAGCAGAGCTTCATGCGAAGAATAAAATAGCTGCGATCAATGTGTGGGCAGCACCTGTAATTCTTAATACATTCGGACTTGTAAAATGGTCACAAACAGACCTGGAATCTCTCGATAGGAAAGTCAGAGCATCAATGACAAGGCACCGAATGCACCACCCCCATGCTTCAACAATTAGACTCTACATGCCAAGGGACAAAGGTGGAAGAGGAATTAT